GGAGGGCTGGATAACGACAGAAGTAGGGAGACCTGTTCAGAAGCTTATCGCCGCAATCCAACAGCGAGATGGCAGGAGCTTGGACCAGGGTGGATCATGCAGGTGGTGAGAAGTGTCTACATTAGATGTTTTTGAAGGTAGAGCCAACGGGAGGACTTGCAGGTGGTATGGATGGAAAGAGAGGGGGGAGGGGAGAGGAATCAAAGGTGACTGCAAATTTTAAAATATTATTATTTATTTTGAGAAACTGGAAGCATGGCTTAGGATGAAGACTATGGGTTTTTCATGCTAGGACTCTATTTGGCCCACCTCTCAGTGTCGTCACCTGCCTCTCTCTTTCTATATTCTGTGTCCCATTCACTCCCGGCTCCTTCATATTTCACATTCACATTCTTTCACCTGCCTGCGTCTTTGTCTGCTAATCTCTCCTACTGGGTGGCCAAAGTGTGGTCATCTGTCCACCATGCAAACTGCTATTCATCCTTCAACAACTCTAAAATGACACGTCCTCTGTGTGGTCTGCTTTCTTTTACTACACACATACACACACACATACATACACACACTCTCCCCTAGCAGTTCTCTTTCCCTCTTCTTCACTAGGCTTACTTGTAGATTACCTGCATCTGGGGCTTCCTGGAGAAAGTGTGCTCCCAGAGGGTGGGACACTGCTGTGTTTATCACTTTGCCCCTCCCACAGTAAGGGAAACATGATGGGCTTTCATTAAGTGTTTATTAACTTAGTGAATGTATGGGAATCATGGAGTGATGTGCCTCTTCCTCTAATCCATCTTTCTCCTCATCTGCCCTTGTACAAAAGTTTTATTTTTTCCACCCTCTCTCTGTAACCTCATATGCATTCATGCTCCCTGGCAGGGCATGTGATGAAGTGACTTGATGGATAAACACTGATATGATTTGGAAACTCAGGAATAAAATTTTATTTGCACCTTAAATATGTTTTAAAATAGCAAATGGACTTAAGACTGCTTTAACTGTCCCCCAAATCAGGCTGCTTGCAAGGAATGGTAGCCTTCAAGTTCACTCCCAGGAAGATTTCTCACAGGTCATGGAACAGAAAGGCTCATGTACTAAATTAAACTTCTCTCATCAAAAGATTTATTGAATCACTTTAAAACACAGGATAGGGGGACGTCTGTGTAGCTCAGCTGGTTAAGCATCTGTCTCTTGATTTCAGCTTGGGTCATGATCTCACAGTTCATGTGAGTTGTATCTCCGAATCTATGTGCAGACAGCATGGAGCCTGCTTGGGATTCTCTCACAGTCTCTCTCTCTCTCTCTCTGTCTCTCTCTCTCTTCCCCCGCTCCCCATTTGTGCTCTCCCTCTTGTTCTCTCTCTCTCTGCCCCTCCCCTACTCATGCTCGCTTTCTCTCTCTCTCTCTCATAGGGTACCTGGGTGGCTCAGTTGGTTAAGCATCTGACTTTTGATTTCAGCTCAGATCATGAGCTTGTGGTTCATGAGTTTGAACCCTGTATCAGTCTCTGTGTTCGCAGTATGAAGCTTGCTTGGAATTTTCCCTCTCTCTCCCTCTCTCTCTGCTCCTTCCCCCCACTGGCACACATGCTCTCTTTTTCTCTAAATAAATAAATATTTAAAATAATAAATAAAACTTTAAAACACACATAGCATGGGAAGCAGGGGGACATAGATGGAGTGAGTTAACACCCTTTGATCGGGGGCCAGCAGCATAGAAGGAAGACTACCTTTCTCCCTCTGCTTATGTTGTAGTTAGGTGGACTGCGTTGAGGTTGGACAAACTAGGGTAGGTCAGTAGAAAGAAGATGCCTGGAACTATCACATACCCCTTCAACTAGTTTGCTGAACAGTTATGGGTTTTATTTGCATTTTGGGAGCAGAGCAGCAGAACGTACATGGGCCATAAAGAATAAAACTGAGACCACTGGAAGATGGCTGGTTTTGTAGTTACAGCCTAGATGTTGCATGATCGATACTTTATGACAGGTCTTTCCATCCCGTTTTTCTAGAAGTAGCACTCTTGTTCTGTCCTTCTAAACATAAAGCATATTTTACAGGCTACCAATTTACTTACTACCTAATACCTAGCACATCATATGAATTCTGTCTGTTTCATAGTCTATTGCTCACTCATCTACACTTGATAGATCCTAGGAGTTATATCTCTCATAGGCTACTCATTTACTTTCCACCTATGCTGAACCATTTCTATGTGTTTTATCTATCTTACGTGTTTTTCTTTCTTTTAAAGCAGAATTGGATATCTTAAGTAACATGGCAAACACATGCACTTATAGACTGGAAAAGAGATTCTAAAATGCCAGCTTATGTGTATCTGTGCCCTAAAACAATGTCTAGGGAGGTAATTACACCCAGTGATTTATGCCTCTTGCCACCTACAGTGCATTCCCATGATTGGCTTACTGAAGAACATGTTTAAGGGCAAAAAAAAAAAAAAAAAAATGAAAGTCATAAAGACCTCTGGGATCATTAATTATGTAAACTCACACTGGCTAGTTAATAATCATAATAGTTAATTGGAAAACTTTGTTTCCAGTCACTTTAGTAACTCAGACTCTTTTTCTTTTTCTGCCTGTTCCCTAAAAGTCCTAAACTATTTCCAAAATGGTATTGCTTAGCTGGAAGGAAAGAAGCCCAAGGGCAGGGATGTACGTATGCATGTATGTGTTGTATGTATATATTTATTAATTTGTAGATTCACTCTGATATTTTTTATTGTGTAAATTGTTTTTTTAAAAATAAACTTTTTTTGGGCACCTGGGTGGCTCAGTTGGTTAAGCATCTGACTTTGGCTCCAGTTACGATCTCACGGTTTGTGGGTTTGAGCCCCGTGTCGGGTTCTGTGCTGACAGCTAGCTCAGGGCCTGGAGCCTGCTTCCAATTCTGTGTCTCCCTCTCTCTCTGACCCTCCCCTGCTCACGCTGCTTCTCTCTCTCTCTCTCTCTGTCTCTGTCTCTCAGAAATAAATAAAACATTTAAAAAATTTTTAAAAAACGTAAATGAAACTTTTTTGAGGTACACTTTGCACACAATAAAACACCTCCATTTAAGTGTGCAATTTCTGGGGTTTTTTTCCCAATTTTTATTTAAATACTAGTTAATTAACATACAGTGTAATCAATGGGTTTTGACAAATTGCCCCTTATAAACACCACAATCAAAACATAGAGCATTTCCATAATTCTCCCCAATTTTTTCATACCAGCAGCTATCTGACACAAAAATTAAAAGGCTCTAAAATGTCCACTTTCACGGATTTCACTTTCCTTAAAGCCCAATTCTGGCTTCCATGGGCAAATTGAGATAACTATAAAAACATCACTTAGTGGTTTCTTTCCAATAGGTGCCAGACAACACTTACCCAATATGCTGTTTTTAGTTATTGGTGTCAGGAGTATAGGTGTTTTTAGTAACTGCTGTCAGCCTTGCCTTCTGCTGTCATCTTGAGAATGGCCCAACCACGGTTCCTGCACTACTTCTTCCTACTTCTGGACCCTCAGCCATGGTCAGACAGGATGCGTGACTGCCTTTTAAATGCAACACATATAACACAAAACATAATGCAAACTCCATGCATTTGTTCACATGAAGTCCCAGTCTGTAAAGCCCTTTCCAGGGACTAGCTCAAGCCCTGCCTCTCTGAGAAGCCTTTCCTCACCCACCCACACTTTTGGAGCTCCCCTATATCCAGAGTATCCATACTGTGCACTGTTTAGCACACATGGTTGGTGTCAACAGTTTAGTGTCTAACACATGTCTGTCTCCTCCATAACTGGGTAGTGGACTCCTCAAGGGCAGGGACTTCCTTTCTGAATGGCAATGTCCAATGCCCAATGAAGAGTCACTGAATGACTGAGCTCTCGAGACTTTCTTTGGCAGAATACATTATATTTGAACAGGTCTCACAACACTTTTTGACTCACAACAGATAATTGGATTTTTATCCCATGCCGTAGCCAATGACCTCAAAGGGACAAAATGGGAGTGCTGGGTTCTACACTCTGATATAGAGGCCATTCTGCCTTAAGGAAACCTGATGTGTGACAATCCAAACTTACAGAGGGTATAAATCATGCATATTTTGTTGGAGAGTAGAAGGGGTTGTAAGAAGGGGAGGGAAGAGAGAATATCCATGATTACTTTACTTACGAAATATTGTTTCACTGTAGGGAAAGCAGTCGTCACAGGGTTCCTTGAATGCTTGATTTCTTCCTTCTTTGGTCTCCTATGGGACTTCCCTTCATCATGCATCTTCTCTCTCCCCAATTCCTTCAGATTTCTCCCTTATGCCATGAACAACTCCAGTTTTCTTTAATTAAAAATAAAAAATATATTTATCCTTCTGAGATCCTTGATCACCCACAGCTGTGACTATATCTCTCACCTTACCTTCTCTTACAGTGTTCAGAGTCACCTACATTCATTATTTTCACTTTCTCTATCTTTTCACTCCTTTTTTGAAAAAGGTTATTTATTTATTTTGAGAGAAGGAGAGAGACAGAGAGAGAGAGCAGGGGAGGGGCAGAGAGAGAAGGGGAAAGAGAATCCCAAGTAGGCTCCATGTTGTCAGCAAGGAGCCCAATGCAGGGCTCCCTTCTCATTCTGTGGAGGCTCAAATTATTATGTATTAATCATTATATAATTAATATAGGATGCAAATATAACATACAATATATTCATATTATAAAATATGTATATATTAATCATTACATATTAATATAATCTGTATATACAGCTGCTTTAAGTTGTCCCACAGATTACTGATGCACTGTTCAACTTTATATTTCTTTTTTCTGTATATATTTAATTTTGAATGTTTTCTTCAATCTCACTAATTTGCAATGTCTAATCTGCTATTAATCTCATCCAGTGTATATTTTATCTCAGACATTGTAGCTTTAATCTCCAGATTTCGGTTTTTAAAGATATCTTCTAGTAGTATGCCTGCCAGTCACAGGGATCTGTCTCTTGCTTCAACAGTGTTTGAATGGGACAGACCCGGGGATGTCTCTTCTACCAGCCTCTGACCACCCTCCAACCTTTTTCTAGTCCCAGCTTTCAGAGTCATCTTCTTGGCCACCCTCTGCCTCTGGGAGCAGCCAATGTCCTATTTTGAACTTAGCTCCTTATTACAGGTCAACAATGAGCTGCCACATTCGTCAAAATTATTCCACTGAGGTGGAGACCGCCATCAATTGCCTAGTCAACATGCATCTATGGGCCTCCTACACCTACCTCTCTCTGGGCTTCTATTTCAACCGTGAGGATGTGGCTCTGGAAGGCATGAGCCACTTCTTCTACAAGGTGGCTAAGGAGAAGCACAAGGGTGCTGAGCATCTCTTGAAGATGCAAAACCAACGCGGCGGCCACGCCCTCTTCCAGGACATGAGGAAGCCATCCCAAGATGAGTGGGGTAAAACCCAGGATGCCGTGGAAGCTGCCCTGGTTCTGGAGAAGAACCTGAACCAGGCCCTTTTGAATCTGCATACACTGGGTTCTGCCTGCGCAGACACCCATCTCTGTGACTTCTTGGAGAACCATTTCCTATATGAGGAGGTGAAACTCATCAAGAAGATGGCTAACCACCTGACTAACCTCTCCAGGCTGGCTGGCTCTCAGGCTGGGCTGGGCGAATATCTCTTCGAAAGGCTCACCCTCAAGCAGGAAGAGGAGCCTCTGGAGCCCAGCAGCCTTTGAGGGGCCCCTTTGGCATCCCTTTGGCTCCAGGGCTTATGCCTGAGCCTCTCCCTGCAGCACTGGGCAGCTTTGTAACCACCCTGGAGCCCTCCCCCAAGCTGTGGACCAAAAGGAAACAATAAAGCGTTTTGCAGCAGCTGGTGAAAAAAAAAATCTTCCATGTCTCTACTTAACTTTTTGAACATATGGAAAATACCATTTTAATACTGTTTGCTAATTACATCATGTATAGCAGGTCTGGATTGGCTTCAATTAATTGATTGCTGCAAAATGGTACATACTTTCTTGCTTCTTTGTGTACCTAATAATCTTGACTGGATGGCAGGCTTTGTGCACTTTACCTTTTAGAGTGATGGATGTTTTTGAATTTTTATAAATATTCTTCAACATTGTTCTGCACTAAAGTTATTTGGAAATCATTTGATCCTTTTGGGCCTTGCATTAAGAGGGTATAGAATAAACTAGAATACTGTTTAGATCAGGGGTAATAATCATTCTCCATTGTTGAGGCGATACCCTTCTGAGGATTCTACAAATGCTGCATGAAATTATGAAGTTTTCTAGCCTGGGTAGTGCGAACAAACACCATTGTTAGCCCTGTGCAAGCATCAGGTATTGTTCTCTGTGATATTTTAGATAGTTCTTTCTTGAGCCTGAAGTCATAATTTCACATGCCTGTGCTTATAAATACTCTTGAATATTTGAAGGTGATTTTCTGCAAATCTCTGGAGTGCTCTCTGCACAGTCTCTCTTCTCTGGCACTTTGTCCTATGCACGTTAGCCGCTTGGCCTCCCCAGGTTCTTAGCTCCATGTCCTCAATTCAGGAAGTTCAAAAAGATCCACCTGAGTTCTACTTTTCTTTTCTGTGCCCTGGAAACTTTCAAGGCAGAAAGCTGGAGCAATCTTGGGAATTACTTCATTTGTTTCCTCTTTTATGGATTACTGTCCTTCATTGCCTGATGGCCATCGTTTCATACATGTAATCTGATTCATTGTTATTGCATCAGGTAGGATGGTAAATGTAATCATTGTTACTTCATGATGATTGAAGTCAGAAGTCCTAAAGGCTCCTCTAGATCTGCCTTAAAAAAGCTTAAAAGAAAGGACGGAAAGAATCAAATTCAAATAACTTAGTTACATGTCAGGATGAAGCTCAAACTCTTTAAGAATATAACAAAACCCAGTGTCCAACAATGTAAAATTCACAATGTCTGGCATTTAATAAAAATTACTATATATACAAAGAACTGGGAAAATATGACCCACAACCAGGAGAAAAATCAAGCAATAGAGACAGATCCAGAAATGACAGAGGTAATAGAATTATCAGACAAAGAATTAAAACATTTATTCTAAATTGTATAAGTGTATTTGAGGATATAGAGAAAACATGAGCATGATGAGGAGAGAGATATGAAAGATACATATTTTAAAGAGAATCAGAGACTTGGACTGTAGGATTGATGCTTCCACAGGCTGGCTGTATGACCCTAGAAAATACTTCTACCCTCTCTGGGCTAATGACATCTCTAATACTCTCTTCCTCTTCGTCTCTTTCTCATACCATAAGCTCTGCTTCCTAAATGTCTACCTGTCTCCATCTCTACTTCCCAGTCATCTCTCCCCTAGACTATGGCAAACCTCTCATCCCAACTACCACCACACCCAATCTTTTTGTCCCACAACATAGCCAGAGAGATTTCTCCAAAATGAAAAACCATGCCTGTTTTCTGGCCTTTCAGTGTCCTTAGGATAAAGTTCACAGTTTACATTGCAGACTCAAGGCCCTTCTTGGTTTGGTTTCTCCTGGCTTGCTCTCTTGAGCCTTTTGGGAAACCATTCTGGCCTTTCCCTCCTGGCTTCACTCCTACTCTTTCATCCTGGGGCTTCCTGCCTGGAACATTTCCCCCAGTGACATTTCACTCAGTTCATGCCTGATTCTTCATTAAATTCTCAGCTTAAATGCCACCTCCTCAGGACCCTCCTGTAACTCAGGTGCTGCTCCTGCTATATGCTCTCATATTTCTTGGCTTCTATCACAGCATTTATCTCACTTATCATTATTATAATATTATATAATATTATAATCATATCATATTATATTATTCTAATTCCTTAATTGTCTCTCTCCATCCCAACCTCTGTGCCTGGTCCCCGTGGTATCCCAGCACCTAACCCAGTGTTTGGTTCTAAGAAGAACGAATATTTATCCTCTATAACATACTGTAGGTCTGCTCTTTGCATCCCTGTTCAGGCCATGCCCCTGTAACCCTGGATTCCTGATCTAGCCTCAGATCAACCCCCCTGCCCAAGGGTCTCCTTCATTTAATCCACCCTGCTCACAGCAGCAAGAACCATCGTCCTCAAGCATCATTTTGATCATATCACTTCCCTTCTTAGAAGCCTACAATAGCTCCAATTGCCTCTTGAATTAAATTAAAACTCCTAATCATGGGTCTCAAGGGGCTCTACCAATTAGCTGCCTCCCTTCCCCCACACCTAGCTGCTGTCATCTTTTCACAAACCCTCCACCATGGCTTCCCCTGCTGCCCTGCAAATCTGCATCGTGCCCACCTCCTCTGTGAGCTAGTCCTATGGCACTCTCTCCTCCTTCCTGAGCTTTTTCTCTTTCCTTCTGCCGTATCATATCCTTTCCTGCACTTAAACAATATGGTTCAATAATCATTTCTTTCATGACTGTTTCCTAAATCAACTCCAGGTGGCTTTGTCCTTTCTAGCATAACCTATTTTCAGGTATGTAGAATATTTATGCTTATATGTATGCCCTATGGCTTCTGCTAACTTATTTTTGGTACTGTCTTCCCTATTAGGGTTCAGCAACTCTAAGGACAGGGACGATGTCTTTTCATCCTTTGTAACTCCCTGTAATCCCCAGGCAGGTTCTGTGCCTGAGGTCCCTGCTTACCTTTGCAACAGAGATTGGGGGGGTGGGGGGGTGGTGAGGGGAGAGACCTGAAAGTGGGAATTCCTTAAAGAAACCAGTTTTTCTTCAGGTTTGCCAGACCAGACTTTAGTCAGCCTGATGGGTGCAGACCCCCTCTACCCCGGCTAAATAGCAGATAGTTTGTGCTCAGCACCCCCACCATAGGGGGATCTTAGTGTGGTAGTAAGAAAGAGAGACAAAACCAAACTTTTCTGGGTGCCTTGCCCTGTGCCAAACACCGTGCTGGGAGCTTTGTGTATTTTATTTCATGCCTTCCTCCCAATACCCTGACAAATTAGGGATGATTATTCCTGACTTACAAGTATATTAGGAGTCAGAGAGGTGGATATAATCTGCCTGGTCACTGATTCAGGTCTTCCTGATCCCAAACACATGCTCCTGTTTTCATACCAAGAAAGACGTATTTCTGGACAAGTGGACTTTCTGCAGAGTGGCCCTAATCCATTTTTTAAAGATTTTTTTCTTATGTTTTTATTTATTTTTGAGGGAGAGAGAGACAGTGCAAGTGGGGGAGGGTCAGAGAGAGAGGGAGACACAGAATCCAAAGAGAGGCTCCAGGCTCTGAGCTAGCTGTCAGCACAGAGCCCAGTACAGGGCTTCAACCCACAAACTGTGAGATCATGACCTGAGCTGAAGTCAGATGCTTAACCAACTGAGCCACCCAGGCGCCCCAGAGTGGCCCTAATCTAAACCACAATTAGAACACACACTCTGACGGGGCACCTGGGTGGCTCAGTTGATTAAGCTTCCAGCTTCAACTCAGGTCATGATCTGGCAGTTCATGGATTCGAGCCCCACATTGGGCTCTGTGCTGACAGCTTAGAGCCTGGAGCCTGTTCGGATTCTGTGTCTCCCTCTCTCTCTATCCCTTCCCTGCTCACTCTCTGTCTCTCTGTCTCTCAAAAATAAATAAAACGTTAAAACACCCACTCACACAAACTCTGACAATGTTGTGTCCATACAACACATACGCAATGTTGTCTATCACTTGATGTCTGAAGAAGATGCTCACCAAGGCTGAACCACACTGGTCTGCTCACCCTGTTTGCTTGTCTAACCCTGTGAAATAAGATTCACCCCATAAATGATGACCTCTTAAGTTTTAGTCAAAGATTCCTTTAAGAATTAGGTAAAAGCCATGGACTCCCTTTCCAGAAAAATATATAAACGTATAACTTACATATAATATCAGAGTGTTCACAGACACACCTTACTTCTAGCCATAGGTTAGAAGTAAGGCCTCTCTCAGGCCTGAGGAGAAAATTACATGTTCTCCTAATGCCTTTCCTACTCCAGACTCTGAAACCTATTAAAGGTCAATATGTGAGGACTCTGGGTCAATGTTATTTATGTACATGTTTCAAATGATGTTATCCAAAAGTCTTGAGTTAAAGATGCAAAGCCTAGCCTTGACATGGAGACCTATGAGAAACCCTAGGGATTGGGAAGTTAGAGAAGGGGATTTTGTGAGAATAAATTTTGGGGCACCTGGGTGGCTCAGTTGGTTGAGCGTCTGACTGCAGCTCAGGTCATGATCTCCTGGTTCATGGGTTCAAGCCCTGCATCAGGCTCTGTACTGACAGCTCAGAGCCTGGAGCCTGCTTTAACTTCTGTATCTCTCTCTCTCTCTCTCTCTCTCTCTCTCTCTCAAATATTAAAATATTAAAAAAATTTTTTTAAATTAATTTCATGACCCTGCACAAGGTGGGCTGTGCCTATATTAATCTGTGGTCCCTACTGTTAGGTTTTATTTCCAGATCGGCTTTCATCATGATTGTAGACAACACTATCATTCCATTTCAGCTTAATTTTTTGGAGTTCGTGCCCAAGTCTCCTCTATTTACAAGGGGAAGTTCCTTCCCAAACGGTGAACTCATTTTCCCGAGAAACTCTTCCCTTTGTAGTTGAGGAGAAAGGAAAAAGAAAAAAACTGAAAGTTTTGGGGAGGATGTTTGAGGCTGAAGAGTGACATCTCTCGGTGGAGAGATGGAAGGGATTTCTAATTAGGCCGTTTTTTACTGGGACATGTAGGAAATCGAGTGTGCATAGCTTCAGAGTGTCCATGAAGCCCTTGAAGTCATATGCAAAATTTGAGGTGTAGAATGTGTATTTTTCTGAAAAAATGGTCCAGAGCTTTCATCAGGACCTCAAAGTGTTCTTTGCTTACAAAAGTTACAGTC